TGGCCATAGTTTTTTGGTCATATTGTGGAGTAGATGGTAATTCGGAAAATATTCTTTTTTTCAGTACCTAATGTTCTGGTACTAAGATAATTTAAAGGATAATAAGGAAATTTTGTCTGCCTCTAAATAATTTAATTTCAGTTTCATTTTCATATTGAAAGGGCACAAGCAGGCATTCAGTTTTTTGTTTTACAACCTTTTTGATTGCTTATTTGTAATTTGTATAAAAAATGTTTTGCACCACTGAATTTCAATATTTAAAAAGACCCCAAAAGAAAAAAAATAATAAAATCAAAAAATTTAATTCATCAAAGAAGTAAAAGCAGCAGAAGTAAATAAAATGTTAAATCGTAATTCAGCAGTTCATCTTCCATTATTAACATATATGTATATTTGTGTTCATATTTAAAATTAACATTTATTATAATATACAATAGTATTTATATGTACATCTATATATTACATTAATATTGATATGGTAACGAGAAAATTAATAAAAACAATATTATATTTTTATATTCGAAAATTGATTTAACAATTGTTATAAAATAAATACCGAATATTTTGTTATATATACATATGTACATACACATACATATCTACACATCTTGATATAATTGTAATCCTTATTTTCAATTTAATAATAAGATATGCATTTAAATATGTAAAATGTAAGTCTATATATACGTACATGTATATATTTACATAAAAATCCCATTAAGTAAATATACGTATAACAGTTAAAATTTAACTTTTATATTTAAATAATAGAAGGGAGGAAAATGTCAAATAATTTCACAAAAATTATAATATTTTACTATAAATATGTATGTATAAATGGATGTACATATATGTATGTATATATTTGAATAATAACTATTACTGTTTATTGAATACGCGTGATGGAAATTTTTAATATTCTTTTACATTTTTCAATTTTCGATACTCTATTATTAAAAATCAATTTTTGCTACCCACATTTAAAATAATTTTTCTTTTTTCGGTATATTATAAATAAATATTAATTTAAATGTATTATATTATGTAAATATTATATGCTTAATATATAATATTAATATTTAATATATATGCACTTATCTCTAGGTACATATATGTATAATATTACAAAAGAATGTTAATATTATATTGTAGGACGTCTTATTAGTATAAAAAAGAATTCAATATGCGTATTGAACAACACGTTTACTCTAAAATCTATTGGAGTATATAGGAAAATCTATTTTATTATAACATTTCTAAAAAATTTATGATTATATTTTTAAAATGTAATATATACATGAACAAATAAACCGTTTAAATTCATTATTAAGGTAATACATACCTTCCTTGTATATTTAAGTATTATAAATTCTCATATATGATGTTTACTCCCACGTATATCATGTTACAACAATTATATATGATGTTCCAATATAGAATGTAATTTTTAAACATTTATATATTTAACTGTTTTTATTTTTATTTATGATTTTTAAATAAATATGTAATTATATATATATACAGGGTGAACGTGTAACGTGGAGCACCAAAAATTTTCAGTTTCAACAAGAAGGTATATCAACTTAAATGACTATAACTTCTATAGTTATTACCCGAATAATGTGCAAAATGGAAAGCTGAAAAGTAGCTCTCTATTGTTATTCTTCTCAAGTTAAAATTACAAAACCTCAATAAACTAAATCATACATAAAGTATAACCTGCAATAACGATTTTCTCATAGAAACCATCCAGTTTACAAAAGGAGTTATCCCTACAGAAACGATTTTGTTATATAATTGTTCAATCTCTCTATCTCTGGCTGATTACACCACGTTACAAGTTCACCCTGTATATATAATACAAGTACCTTTTGCCTTTTATTATTTAAAAGGCCATTATGACCAACAAACTGAAAAAATTTGTAAAAAACAAAAATTATTAGTATAATTTTAGCCTACATGAATTTTTCAAATCAATGAATCATTGTTATAAGTTACTATACAAAGAAAATTTTGTCAATATTTTTATTTGGACGATTTTTCATCCATGTAAAATTATTAGATACTAATTTTAAACTTTTAATTACAATACAATCGTCCTTAAAGGTCAATTTATTATTAAATTAATTTATTCATATTTATATAACATCCATTGAAATGTGCGTTAATTCCAACCAACCATGTAAAACAAACATTACCAGAATATTAACGAAAATCAGGTTTGAAAGGAAGATTACTATGAAAATGTTAAGCAATAAAACTATGACATTCGTTTTTAGTTTTTTATGATAAAAGAAATAGGTTCAGACATTTCTGCGCTTCCAGAATTCAAAAATTATCTTTAGCTCTTCTTTGAAAAGAAACAAAAAATTTTCAACCTTTTTTTTTCAATCATCAATTTCAACAATTCAATTTCTTAAAGAAATTAATCAATAATATGTGTATGTATATAAATTCAATAAAGAACAAGGTAAAAATAATAATAAAGTTTTCTGATTTACAACATTTGATTGATATTTGTGCTAAGTAATCGATTATAAACCTCAACTAATTGCTCCTATCAAGTCAAAGGATAATAACAATAAGAAATAAATGAACACAAAAATCATTGACTATAAGAAGGATAGAAGTTTGTTACATATTACACATTATATATATATATATATGTATATATATATATATATATATAATATTCATATATACACATACATTCTATATATTTTTGAAATGAAACATTATGAAGGTTAAATATAGAATTCGATATTTACTTCAATTGATTTTACAATGATTTAACCCTGTTCTGTTTTAAATTAGGTGAGGCAAGTAAAAACTAGAGCAATAATACTATAAATCAAGAAAAAAATAATTTATTTACATATATGTATGGTGAATGATTGTAAGACAAACAATTTGTATTAAATCTTCATATATGCATTATGTATATTCTATAAATATATTTATTGAATAGACATAGACCTGTAGGTAAAGACTATATATTCACTAATATCATTATCATATGATATGTGCGTATATAAAATTCACTTATCTAAAATTATGAAAAATATGAAGAAAAATAAGAAAAATAAAAGATGATATTAGAGAAATGAATATTGTTGAATATATGGAAAACTGTATATTATGAATGCTAATTCTGAAATTGAATTATTGTAAATAATCTGTAAAGGATTTGTAGTTTTATATAGAACTATATTGTCGTCAATGAAAATATTTTATATAAATAAAATGTTGTATGTGAAATATTTAAGAATAAAATGTGTAATACATAAAATTTTAAAAATATCTTAGATTTATTAAAAAAACAAAAAATTCTATACAAAATTTTTATTTTTATATTGCAAGAAAACTTACCACTCGTGCGTCGGCTACAGCAAAATCAAACTTTTCAATTTAAATACTTAAACTGCGTAATTAAATTTCATACAAATTGTATTAATACTTAAATTTCATACATATTATTGTATGAAATTCAGAAGTTCGTTTTCTAATCGCACAATAAACAAAATTTAGCAACTTCTAATTCTAATATGTTCATTTTCCAATGATAAATTGTAAAGTTTTTCCATATATACAAAATAAGTTTATTACTTAAGTGCTAAATTTAGCCTATATAAATTCCAAACCTCATGCGATCCATTATAATTAAATTTGCTACCAAATGATGTCAAATAAAATTTTAATACCAATAAAAATTGTTATTTTATTATATGCATTAAGACATGATCTAGCAAAATACTTAACATGTATATATAGTAAAATTTTGTAATAATATAATTTTCCATTTTTCCTGGGTCGAATAATAAATATATAAAAAGTATGTACTTATGCAAATTCCACTTTATTTCGTATTTCAAGGTCAGTTTATTGTATATATAATATATATATACTTTCTTAGATAATGCATATGCATATATAATAACTTAGAAAAGATATAATGGGTGATTTTTTATTAGTTTTCGTTTTTGAATTTAGAGAAAATAGCAAAGAAAGTTGTAAATTTGGCCTTGGGTTATTAATGCAATCATACCCCTCTTTGGAAGTACACTTTTTTTCGTCCATACGACTGTGTGCAGATACCCAAATCAGTGCTATACCATCGATGCTATAAAGAATCTAGAGCACACTGTGACACTTCAATATTGGCCTTGACCGGGTTAGGAATATTTGCCATTTCCGTAGTCCCAGCCAATTCTAAAGCCTTTTGACCTGCCATAAATTAGAGCAGCAATATTTTCTTTTACATGTACACCACAGTTTAGTTCATACTTTCTCGGATTTTTAATATTATTGAACAAAGTTACACGAATTGTAAGCTTTATTCCAGCATATTATTGAAATTAAATGGTAAATCAACAGTTACGTTCTCATTTTAAGTGTTGAAAATAAAAACTCAGAATAGAATCACTCATTATATTTTATTGTATATTTTATTATTATGATAATTCCTGTAGATTTTTATCATTAAAATGTACAAAGTTATTTATTTTAATAGTTTATCTTCTGAATAACTTAAATTAATTTTGTAGATTTATTGGAAAACTACGTGAATAAAATGTAGTTGGTAATGAAAAAAGTAAAGTGCAATCAGATTTTCATATTTCAATTAGTAAAAATGTAACTTAAGTATGCTAGAAGTGCAATGCTGTCTGAAAATTCTGTGTATGAATACGGAAAAAAATTTGTATAAATGTAAAAGATTGTATATCGTGCCATTTAAAATACAGGAATGTAATATTTTGCTTTAAAACCCCGCAATTGGCACTTGTAATCTGAATTTTATGACAGTGTTATTGCAATGAAATGCCTCTGACAATTATACTAAATTTTGTGCATTTTTTAAATTTTTAATAGTTTGTGCGGAAGCTAAATTATTTCAATAATATCAAATTCAAAGTTGTATGCAGTCTACATATATGCGAAAATATGTAGTTTTTATTATGACAAAGTTAATAACACATCAAATTTATTTTGAATAATTTCAGATTAAAGTGTATTAAAAGAGAAATCAAAATCGTTCCAATGAATTTTAAAACAAAAACTTAATTTTTAATCATAATTATTTTCCATAAAACCACAAAAAAAAACTTTTAAAATTGAAACAAAATAAATTGAAAAAATTCCAAAATTAAAAAAAAAATTAATTATAAGTGAATTACAGAGTGATTTATAATAAAAATTAAATTGAATTTTTAATAATTAAAAAAATATAGACCAAAAAAATAAACAAAAGAATTTTTAAAAAACTGTTAAAAACCGCATGGCCGCAACTAAAATCGAAAATGGCCCAAGTGGGCCTCGTAACGGTCATGAAATGGCCCCCTTAAATACAAGGGCACGTGGTGATGGTAATCATGTTACAATTGTATTAACTGGCGCTGAAAGAAACTCAATTAGTTCTGTTGAAGTTCCTGATGGTGAAGATCGTGCAGCATGGAGTGGAAAAATGCAATTTTTCTTAAGTATTATCGGCTATTCAGTCGGATTGGGTAATATTTGGCGATTTCCGTATTTATGTCAACAAAATGGTGGTGGTAAGTTATTTTTAATATATTTTTTAAATTGATTTTTTCAAATAAATTACTATAATTATCAGTATTTTTTATACTTCATGATCTTAATTTTAACATTTTCTATGTCAAGAAGCAAGTTTCATCAATATATTTGTTCTGTTATGTACAGAATGACGAATAACTACAGAAATTTTTAAAAAATAATTTATTAAGATCTTTAACAAAAATTTGAAAAAAATATTTATTTTAAGAAAAAACTCAAAAGTAAATTTTGAATTGAGAACGTATGCTCTGAACTAAAACAAAAAAAAAAAAATTTCACATTTTTCCAAAAGTATCAATTAATATGCAATGCAAAGAATTTTGCATATGCAAGGAATTTTCCGCGCTTAAATGACAAACACGTTAAATATTTTCTTAAATATTTGACACTTATGAACCCTATGGCTATAAAAATCAATTTTAATTAACGTGCGATCAAATTTTCATTGAGTCAATGTATTCTTAAAAATTTTCTTTTCTTCAAAAGCTCAATTACTTTTTGTTTTTACTTGTGTATACTGGGAATTTCATTAGAATTAAAATATATGCATTTTTTTTATTTTTTTATCAACTTAAAATCAAAGTATAATACACACTTACAAAATTTTTTAAAGTAATCCGTATAACAGTAGAGTGAGGATTGTAGATTCTTAAAGAAATATAGTGAGAATTTCTCCCGGATCACCGCAGCCATTCGCAACTTATTGTAATCTCCCCACGCTCCCGCGCATGATATCCCCGTTCCAAGTATAAAACTGGAGATATCTCTAAGAGATTTGGACAACAATTCCCAAACACTTAGTAAACTCTGTCCAAAACAATTGCAACGCCGGACAGTGAGAACCAAAGCGTCGCGCAAAATGTGAGGAAATATAAGAGTAACAATTATTCTCACTGTATTACAATATTGAAATATAAAGAAATCTAGAGGATTGCGACGAGAAATTTAATAATATTTTTAGTATTATAATAAATTACTTTTTAATAAGCTGAACTAGTAAATAAATTTTGATAGTTATATAATCTTGCTTAAATATAACATCAATTATATGTAAATTATTTCGGATTTATTATATTCAACATCATTAATTTTTAATTATCAAGCGTAATACTTTTCATTCACCACCTTCAATACCTTTCGGAATATTTACATAAGTATATACACACATATAAAATCCACAAAGCATTTTAACACTTTTAAAAACCATTAAATAATTTTACATTTCAATTTTTTATCTTTACAAAATTGCATATTAAAAATTTTCTCCTACAAGCAATTTTTACATAGCACACATTCTGAAGCATATTTACCTATTCATATTTCTGTTATTGCAGATTTTACTGGACACTTTATTTAAACATTGCAATCGGATTTTTTATTAAAACATTCAAATTAGAAATTTTATAGAAATATTTAATTGTTAATTTAGTCATTTTGAGAATTTTACCCATTTCAATGACTGTATGCGTATATGTGTTTAGATGTATGTGTATGAATTTTAAAGTTATAGGAATTTTCCAATGAAATTAATATGCACAATTCAGATATAATAAAAAAAAAATCATTAAAAATTTGCATTTACATACGTACAAAATCATAATGAAGGAAAAAAACCCAAAACATAAAATAACAAATATGCAAAAAAAAAAAAATCATTAAAAATTTAATGACAAAACTTTTTTGTTTTTACATGGTCTATATATGCATACATACATACATGTACATAAACCGCAATTTTAATGGAAATTTTTCATTACATACCGATAGAATGTCGATTTTTGCTTTAGAAACGACAAGGGTAAAAAAAAAATATTTATTTGATCTAATTTGAACGTCTTTTTCATGCATAATGTTTGTGTATTGTTGTGTGTGTATTTAAGTGTACATAATAAATCACAAATGAAGTACTAAGTAGTAAGTGGTCAATTTATTTACACAAACCATATAGAAACGTCTATCTGAGCTAAATTAAGTATAATAAAAATGAATTTTATGCAATTTTCTTCAATGTTTTCATAACTCAAATTTCAAATTTTTTTTTTTTTCCGTTATATGTACATGCCTATATATGTATGCGTGTATACATATTTTTATTATATTCTATACGTAAACATAAATATATATTTACTTGTGTAATATGGTGTAATATGAGCGAAATATTTTTTGATGATTATGAGGACTCAGGTGAATCTTGTTTTAATTTTTTATAAATATTTATGGATTGTCGAGTTATTATACTCTGTAAATAATACCTTAAAGAGTTTGGCACATGACTTTAGGCATGAAACAGAAATATAATCACAGATTTATTAAAACAGAAATATATATGTATTTATGTATGTATATGTAGTAGCATTATAATTTTAGTTATGTAAACGTATATGATATACACATTCCATGTGAATCATATTTCATAAAATTAATTTAAACACTTATTTAAATAAGGTATTAAAAATATTAAAATGGTATCTGAAAACATTGTTTAACCTGGTAGAGGAAAAAGTTAAGCTTAATTGTGGTATTATTGAAATTTGACAAAAAATTTTAATTTGTGGTCGCGAGTTTGTTTTATATCCAATTTTTTTTTTTTTTGCTTCATAAAAAAAATTGTTATTGGATTCGTTGTTTTAAGCATTTTGAGACAGCTAAATTATATTGGTGTACTTAACTGAGGCGCATATTATAAAACTTGGTCATTTCAGAATTTGAATATGTTTATGCAATGTTTGTGCTGGACATCGATACCTATACTCTTAGCGCATTCTTAATATTAATAAATAATTTTAAATATTGAAATCAATTGTATGATTTTTAGTTTTTGTAAAAGAACCTGCAAAATCAAGAAAAATAAAGAATTCTTGGAAAAATCTATTGAAATATTTAATATCATTATAATGATGAAGATTTTTCCACAAAACATAAATTGTTATTTAACCAGTTTTTCACAAGAAATTCTGGTTTAAATTTAATTCTGGTAATTTCTAATAAAAGTTTTCGAATTAAAGAATAAAGAACTTCTATTTCTACTTTGTTATTACAAAAAATTACATTATTGTTATTTGTATATATAAAAATGGGCATAAAGATCATAACGTAATTTATAAAAAATTGTGAAGAATAGGGATAAAAGCACTTAACTATAATGACTACCCGCAGATAATCCAATAGTCGCATACATGCATGTGTCATATATTTTTATAAAACATTAATTTAAGAATTATAAGGGTATTACTATAAGGAAGTAAAAAATTGATCTCAAGAAAGAATTTTTATAAAATTTTTATATAGAATAAAAAAAAAAAATAATTTATAAGAATTTTAAAAAATATCTTTCATATTAGAGACTGCATTTTAAATTTTTAAGGAACCTAATTTAACATCATAAATTTTAATATTTCTATTTAGTATTTCAGTTTTGGCCTTTTGCCTATTTTCAATTACAAAATTCATACAAAATACAAATTTCCAAATAAGATCTAAAAATAAAATCTCCCATTATTATTAGTAAAAGAATTGCAAAAAAAAATTCCATTTCAATTATATTAAATATTAATCACTTTTATTTAATTGTGCTAAATTCAAAGAATATATTATATACGTTCTTTCAAACTGTAACAGCATACACAAGGCTTCACCTGTTATTTTTACCTTTAAAGAATTAACAACAAAATTGCATAGTCATTACTAAAATTTTAATTGCTAAAAAAATTTTTAATTTTTATTTATTTCATTCATATTGCCTAAAATTGAATTTATTTTCTTTTAAAGGAAATATCACAAAATATATATACATATACATTTTAACACTTTAAAAAATTTTGAAATAAATTTGTATATCGTCGGTTAAAAGGCAGAAAGCACTAAGTGCATTTTTTGAGAATTCGGATTTCATACATGAATTAAATCAGAATAATATAATCTTTGTTGGTGCAAAAAATCATGCAAATCCAGAATATAGTTTATAAATTCAGAAATTAAAGAGACCAATCCCGTTGTACTAATTGATTAGTTTTAAAATTTTACGATTTTTTCAAATTGAATTTACTGAAAACACAGTTTCCTGACTTAATACTTTCTGCTTCTTAACCAACGATATATGCATCTGTGTATTACCTACATATTTTCTACTTTAAATATATTTTTAACAGTTTTTCGTCATCTTGAAAAAGCACGTATTCAATTTTTTGTAATTTTTCTTCAAATTCTTGCATTACACGTATATATAATAATTATATAGTAAAGGTATAATAATAATGCAATGCACAATAGCCATTCCTTTTTGAATGCGTCATTGAAATTTCATCAACAAAAATTAAATTACTTAAAAAAATATATATGAAATATATTAGAATTAGGTTTGACGCCATACGGGTGAAAATATTGTTTTAATATTTTAAAAAGTTACCAAATTTTTAAAAAAAGAAATGTTTGCCAAATTTTATAGGAAAATTCCCATATAACAAATCATAAAATTTATCAACGAATCGTTAAAATTAATTGATTCATAATCATCATAAATTTAAATGAAAAATTTATACATGTATTGAAAAATTTTTCATTAATTTTTTTTTTTTTCTGTAATTTACAAAAATAATTTTTAATAGCTTTAATTAATAAAATATAAACCACTATATGGGTATAAAATAAATATAATCAATATATTTCCTCTGATATTTTCTTGTGTTATAATTTTATCGATGCTATTTTATTAAATATTTTATTCCATATACTACTTATATATAAACTATATTCGAGCAAATTTCGAATTTTACATTTTTAAATTTAGTATACATTCATGCATACTTGTGTTTACCAACATTATTATAAAAATTTTAAATTTTACAACTTAAGTATATTAAATTATTACAAAAATATTTTTTGATTCGTAATTATACTAAGAATTTCTTTACTAAGTGATGAAAATATTAATTTGCATATACTTACATTGGATTCTTTTAATGATTCCTAAAATAAAACT